AACTCGATCAGTCATCGACCACCATCAAGAAACCCAAAGCCCCTGACCGGAAATGCTCGAACCACTCCCGTGGGCCCGCAAACGGCAGTAGCCCACAAAATAAAGGCAAAATTAGCAACAGAGCTAGCAAAGACAATCACCCTTCTCACCCAATATGGGAAAAGGACTGGGCTCTTGCCCTCGGCCCGCTCCACAACGGTGATGGGCCCATTTAAGATAACATAAAGATACGGGCTGAAAACATTTGACAAGAAATGCAACAAACAAAGGGCCTCCCAATAAATTAGCCAGTGGGACCCACTCCCTCCCAAAGTGTCCACACAAAATTTGCCCGCATAGCCACACATGACACCTAAGAGTAGAAAGGCAATGGCTCCAATCATTAGAATTCCAAACAGCATTCGGCTCAAGACTTGGATTTGGCATTTTAAAAGATGAAGGCCCGTGTTGAAGGTTGCCATCGATTTCGGCATCCACCAAGATTTGGATTCCTAATGCCAATCAAAGGAGAAATATGGCATAATTTAATGGTATAAGATGAAAGCCGAAACAAACACTGGTGTTTCGATGGAAAAAATTTTAGTCTGGGTATAAAGTGTTAGCCAGCCAGTTAGAGCTAAACTCAATTGTGGATTTTATTTTTATTTAGTTCTAACAAAATTTTTTTTAGAACAAGAGAAAGAAGGGAAAAAACTCTTTCATGTTCGTTTAGAGGATTGTATTCAATTGGGATTCTTAAAGACTTTTTTAAGACTTTTAAAATTTTAAGGTATCGAATTTGAGTGTTTTACCAAGAGAAAATTCTTGTAAGAGATCTTACTAGACTTACATAACTCTTCTCAAGCTTTATTATGTCTAGGGTTCCAAGTTACACAATTGTCTTTTGACTCATTTCTCTCGAGTTGTAAGGGACACAATCATATATAGGATTTGAATATTGTTATAAAAAAGATGGCATAGAAATTCTCATGTAATCTCAATGGTTATATATATATATATATATATATATATATATATATATGTAAGAGAAGAAAACAGTTCAAACGCCAATTATTTCTTTCAAAATCATTTGTCTTTTATTTACAACTTGATTGAGTAATATAAGCAACACAATCTAGAAAATCCAATATCCAGATTCTTACGAGGACATAGTTTTCCAGAGTTGATTGTCATATATATAAAAAAATATAATAATAAAGTTTAACGTGATGTTGACTTTAGGCTAACAGATTTGATTCTTGATACATTTTCAACAAAAATTTTCATGTGCGATCTAAATCCTAACCGATAAATTGTCGTACTTGTGAATAAAAATGTATACTCATACTATCAAATTCTTTATAAATAAAAATGGATACATGTATATGATCACTATCAAATATAAAAATTGATACTTATACCATCAAACATCTGATAGTCGTGTTGAACCATGCATACTTATACTACTAAACTAGTACGTAGCCCGTGCAATGCACGGGTCAAAGATGTTAAATGAGTCATTTCATAGGGTATGTCCATTCAGGGTTTAAAAATAATAAAGTTGGATCATCAATTTTCCACTTCTTTTAATCAACGTTGTTTTTTAGTCATAACTTTAAACTCGAGCCTATTAGCCCTAGTCTGTGAATGAATTAATATATCATTATGTCATCATTTATACTAATAGAAATTAAATTTTAGTATATATATTTATTCTTCGATATAAGAAAAAATAATATTTTTGCATATTCTTGTTCACCATATAATACTTAATTTATTATTTATTATAAAATTGTTATCATATAATGTCATTATAGGTTTTTTTATAAGAGTTATAAAAGTAGTCTTCTTCTTTCTATTTTATGTAATGAAAACATTTAATGTACGTTAACATTATTTATTAATGTAGGAAATTTAAATTACGTAAATAAATTGAAAATAAAATATTGTGTATAAATATTTTACAAAATATATACGCATGTTATTTTAGAATTTAAGCTTTTATACTAATTAAACAATTTTTATTTAGCAATTGCTAAAAACTAAATTCCTTCTATAATCAAGAGATTTTTCTAATTTGCATCATAAGGTTTGTAGTTTATTTGCATACTATGCAACAAAAATATATTTTATAAGAATTTCATTATGTAAAGAAATCAAAATTAAAAAAAAAAATATAAAAGAAATTAATGATGGTAGACGTAATATACAAATAAATCACATTTTGAAGTTTTAAAGAATAGTTAATGTATTTTAATTTTATTATTTGGCCATTAGTAAATTTATTTAACGTATCTAGTCATTATCTCTTAAATGATAAACTAATTTGAGAAATAATTATTTTTATATATATAATGAAATAAAGTTTCATAAAACATTATATTGGTAAAGATTAATTCGCTAACTTGATTTTGCCTGATAAATTAGAAGAAAAAAGTTTACCTAACCTGTCATGATTTTCTATAAATATTTTTGATGAAAAGTCGATACTTGTGAAAAAAATATAATAATATGGTTAGAACTGAGAATATGTTTTTATGTTTATCTTGACCAAAATATTATCAACAGGAATTATAGAAAATTAATTTTTTGTATCTTATTACAATGAATATTAATGAAATTACTGCAAATGTAACAATTAATGCATATATTTAAAAAGTTTCTGAAAAAGGTATGCATTAAATGTTCCCAAATTTTTTTAGCCACTATATTTAGTAAATGGTTATTCTCTTTATATATAAATATGAACATGAGCATATGTCAATTCTCATCCCACCAAATTCCCCATTCTATCTTCTCATCACCAAAAAAAAAAAGATGGGCATTTATTTTCCTCTCTTGATCATCACTCATGCAGCCATCCTCTTCCTTTTCCCATCCTCTCCACCAATCACCGTCGCCGAAAAACAAAATCCAGCGACCCAAACATGCCACGGCAACCCTTTAGTAACCTCCGTCTGCGAAAACGTCACTCAAAACACCGGCTTTGAGTTCTGCTGCGCCACCTTCTTCAACGACACTGGGGCGGCCCCAACCGACACCAAAATCGACCTCGACCACATAGCCTTCGAGAAAACTACAACTTGGCCGACTTTTTACTAAATCAAATTATCTCGATAATCACTTATAGAAAGAACACAACAAAATTAGACGCCATGCGGGAGTGCGCGGGTGATTACAACCAAACCTTGTGGGCCCTTGCCAAGTTGATCGAAGACCTCGACTACAATACTTATAAAGAATTTGATGTGCTGGCGCTTTCCGCGAAAGGCAATGTTAGCTCGTGTGATGAAATTTTGAATTGTGCTTTTTCGTCAACATCGTCTGTAGTTTTTCGAGCAATGAGGGATGTGAGTAGGACCGTTGTGAAGCTTATTGATATTTGTTACGGTGTGGCTCGGCTGTTTTAATATTCGGAGTAGCCGGATTTTTTCTGGTGTATCTTTCGTTCTTGATTTTAAAAGCAAATCTGTGCGGCCATTAATGAAGCAAAAATAAAAGAAAAATGACAGAAGGCCTTTTTGATTACTGAGTAATATGATGTTCTTTCTTGTACAAGGAAAAGGCTACTACAGTAGCTGCTATATATATACTACTGCTACCTAAAAACCCTAGGGTTTAAGAGATGAATCAACGGCTAAGATAAGAGCTTTAGAATGTGCTATAAAGTGACAGCTCATGCATTGCCATGCAAGCATGCAAGAGGACAAAGAATAAAACAGATGCAGTACTCGGTTCTTGGACTGTAGCAAAGATAGAGCAATATAATTCAAGGAGGCTGATGTGTAAGCTTGCTTTTAGGCCCTCTCAATTCGAACATGGTGAAGGGAAAAACATTCAGTTTAGCCCGCAACTTTGTGAAGAATTGGTTTGGTAATGGCTTTGTGAAGATATCTGCAATTTGGTCAATGGAAGGAACATGCTGGACCTTTATCTTATTCTGTAAAACTTGTTCTCTGATAAAATGAACATCTATCTCAAGATGTTTCATTCTAGAATGATGGACTGGATTCTGAGATAAGGATATGGCACCAAGGTTATCTACCCATATTATAGGGATGGTAGGTGTTTTGATAAGCAACTCATGCATGAGGGACTACAACCATAAGACATCACAAGTGGCTTTAGACAAGCTCCTGTATTCAGCCTCAGTACTGCTCCTTGATACCAATGTTTGCTTTTTGGAACTCCATGTAATGAGGTTCTTGTCCAAAAAAGTGCAATATCCAGAAACTGATCTCCTATCATCAAGATCTGTTGCCCAATCAGCATCAGCAAAGGCCATAATCTGAGATGAATTGCATTTAAACAGCTGCAGTCCATGGTCCATGGAACCTGAGAGGTATCTGAAGATTTTCTTCATAGATTTCCAATGATTGTCAAGGGGACAATGCATAAATTGACTCAGTTTATTTACACTGAAGGAAAGTTCAGGCCTGGTAACAGTGATATACTGTAATCCTCCCACTAGACTTCTGTAGAAAGTCACATCCTCAATTGGAGAACCAACTGATTTAGAGAGAGGAGGGTGTGCATTCATTGGAGTAGCAGTGCCCTTTGTAGATGTCATGTTGAGTTTGGCTAAAAGATCCTGAATGTATTTTCTTTGAGAAAGAAACAAGCCATCAGAGTTATAAGAGAACTCAATTCCAAGGAAATAATGAAGAGAACCTAAGTCCTTGACTGGAAAGAGAGAGTTCAGATGTTGTACAAACTGATCAATGGCAGTTGAAGATGTGCCTGTGACAATTATGTCATCCACATAAGCCATAACTATAAGAGTTGAACCTTTAGAATGTTTATAAAATAGGCATGTGTCTGATTTAGATGATAAGAACCCCAATGAATGTAACACTGTCTTGAGTTTAAAAGACCAAGCTCGAGATGCCTGCTTAAGACCATAAAGTGTCTTTGTTAGCCTACACATAGAGTTGGGCTGAGTAAGGTCTTCAAATCCTGGTGGTTGGATCATGTAGAGATCTGTCTCAAGGTCCCCATTAAGAAAGGCATTTGCAACATCAAGTTGCCTTGTGAACCAAGACTGAGAGATGGATAAGGTGAGCACTAGCCTGATTGTGGAGGGTTTGACCACAGCACTGAAGGTGTCAGTATAATCAAAGCCAGGGGTTTGAGAGTACCCCTTGGCAACAAGCCGAGCTTTATACTTGTCAAGAGAACCATCAGCATTCAATTTGGTTTTAAAAACCCACTTACAGCCTATAAGGTGTTTGTCTGGTGGCAGGGTTGTTAATGTCCAAGTGTTGTTTCTTCTTAGTGCTTGTATCTCAAGCTCCATAGCTTTCTTCCAAACAGGAATGGATAGAGCTTCATTAACAGACTTTGGTTCTGAAAACAGTTGCTATTGGGTTGCAAAGGTCTTTGGCTTGAAGGTGCTAACTTTGGACCTTGTGACCATTGAATGAGTACCTGTAGCTGCAGGAGTAGGATTAGTGAGTAAAGGAGGTGTATTCTCTATTGGTAT